TATATAGAAACTGTTTGGAGTTGTGAAATAACTGAAGTTTGCGGGGAGGACTGTGCATGAAACCCCTCCTCCTTCAAATCTAACACCCTATAAAATTCACATCGTTACCTTTAGTTTCCCGTGATGAAGTTCTTGCAATTCCCACCACCACACCACCACCACCCCTGTACCCCAGTCCTATGACAGTCCTACCACAGTTATAAGAAGGGGGGTCTGGCCTTTTAGCTACAGGCAGAAGCTACCCAGAACTCCAGCCCTAGTTCTCAGAGTTGTCTCCCCTCCCTCAATCAGTCTTCCCTCATACTACCACCACATGTTCAAGGCACAGTCCGAACTCGCAAACAGCCCATTTTGAATTCATTGTTTTTGTGATATCAGAAAAAAAGCTTTAGCTCTGTTTATTGATTTTGAAGTTGAAAGGAATGTTTCAGCCCAGTTTAAGGCCAATCAAATCAAGAGTTTGATATAGTATATAAACATTGTCAGAGTTTGAAAATGTATTGTTCACTCTCCACTCTATACGGTTCATATATGACAACTAAGCTGCTTTGAGTTGTGATTTCATAAAAAACGAAACTAATTCCTTGCCTCTTCAGCCTACAGCAGTTTAGCCCCACCCTTTCAGTAATAAGCAGTGTTTCAGGCCAGACAGCTTTTATTTATTACAATAGCCAATCAGAATGAGAAGTTGCATATATCACTCGTAATGGTACATTAACAATGAGCCTGCTTAATTAAGAGAGACTGGAATAAAGAGAGGTTCAGAAAGTGGTCATGCAAAAATGAATTGTGACTTTTTAGGTGCATAAAACCACAGGAACATTATAGGTGGTCCTGCAAGGAAAACGTGATATAGGCCCTTTAAAGTCTAGTTTTTCATATAGATTTATATTCTTCTGCTTCACATTTTTATTTTCTTCTCACATGTTGACAGTAATCTATGTCTACTTTCCCTCTCCAGGCATTGTAGCTTAATCGGAGCCAAGAAGCGTTCTGCTAATTTTTAAAGAGAGTAGGGACCACCTGCTGTATGGACCGCAACCACCTTCATCACTGCTCAGCCAGCGCACTCCTTTATGACCTGCACACAAGCACATGCCTTCAAGCCTGCACACACACAGAAACTAGACGAGCAAGTCTTAATGCATTAACAGTAACAAACTGGACTGTTTCCACATGTGCTGTACAAACCTGTGAAAGCTTCTATGTTCAAAATTCAAAGGCACATTCACTCTTATGCTGCTTCTCATCAAACAGGTAGTGTATAAAATCCAACTTTCTGGAACACTTGATTAGATATAGACTTCGTTTCAAGACGTTCAGTGTCTTCAGTTCTGTTTTTTTGTTTTTTTTTGATAATTTTCAGTTGAAATTATCAACTGTATTCTGGGATACAAAAGCAGCTGTGTAGTTGGTTTGCAATGTTAGTGGGTGAAAAAAACATCATGCTATTTATTTGCTCAGTCTTTGTGATTACTGTGAGTTTATCTTTTTGGTACTTTTAAAGCATCAGTTGCAATGATGTTCAGTAAGTAATGACTGAACCCCAACCCTACAGCAGAGGTACGACTCCATATGGCACATTGGTACAGAATTTGTTAGCATATTAGTAGTCTGTCTGTGTGGAGGTTTGTGTATAGATGCTGCTCACTGGCTGAGAATGTATGAGATGTATGAGTGTCTATGGGCTTTTTTCAGTCTGCCAGTTCTGACTTGCTAATTTGCTGTCTTCTAGTTCATGCACAGATCTTTCCCAGCAGCTTTATACTTACCTTCTGTGAATAGTCTTATTAATCTATTAATTAATTAATTAACTTGTCCATGCTTAGTGCACAAACATGTTCATTTAATTTCATAACAAATGTTGCTAATAAAGCTTAACAGAACATTAGCCAAAAAATACTCTGATCAATGTGAACTTGTGCCTTTTTTAATGAAATATAGAAATTACAGTACTTTGCAGCAGTCAGAGACCATCTTTCATTTTTTTTTATTTTCAGTCATTGCATCCAAGTTCCAATAAGTATTTTAAGTATGTTAATACATGAAGTAGGTTCATTTTTCAGCAATTTCTGAGGAGGTTAAGTGTGAAATACTCCACTTACAATAGAAAGGACAAAGGAGGATAAAGGACAAAATAGTTTCCAAAACTGAAGTTTAAAATTCATTTAGAGATAGAAACAAAACAAAAGAAATGTCACTCTTAACAACTGAGCTAGACCTGGTAGACCACCATCAGATAAACAGCACTTAAAGCTTTCATCTTTGAGACAAAGGAGAAAATCAAGCTCCACTGTTGCTTCTAATCTGAAAAATGCACAGGTGTTTCTGTCCATCCTTCCACTGTGAGAAGACAACACCTGAAAAAACTACACCTGATGTATGTATATATATATATATATATATATATATATATATATATATATATATATATGTATGTATTTTAACTGAGTGTGAGGTCACAGGTGGGACACATCAGGTGTAGTTTTTTGTAGTGTAACTGAGCTAACCTTAGCATGTTAGCAAATTCAGCATTATGTTCGACTTAATTTCGATTAGCTATGACAGCACAGTCCAGCTAAATAGCACAGCATTTTAAATTGGAAGCCAACCTGTAGTACAAAGTGCACTATAATTTCTCATTAGGTTGAACAAAAACAGTTGCTATGAAAAACTGCATGTGTGGGCGGAGCATGGACTGGTCAATAACTCTTTTAATATTCAGGCCATATGTTTCAGTATCAGGGTTTGTTCCAGTTGTTTTTTCAAAAATTTCGGTATTTGGTTTTTCAGTAACTAATACAGCATTGCCAACTGTCATTTATTTGTGCTTAAATGATATTTAAATGATGTTAGAAGACATAGTCCTACTTAAGGTTTTCACATATGCTGTACCTCAAATTACTAAGGTACAGTAAGACAAATCATTCATACAGTATGAGTGGCCAAAAGACTTAGACTCCCTTAAAACAGTTCTTCTTCACATTAATTTTTATTCACAGTTGTGCCATTTAATCAGCATTACACAGACTGTACATATACCAAAAATATAGTTTCAAACCCCCTACACAGTTCATATGTAAAGATCATGACCTGTGACCTAGTGAGCCATGTTTGTGATTCAGTTTCCTTTATAGAATTAGCAAACATAATGCTCTTTCTCAAATGTCTGGGAAATGGGAAGTGCTCCTGTGTGCATTATTCTCTTTTTCCCAAAGAGGAAATCGTTGCATAATTCTCAATGAATTGTTGCGCTTGTACTGTGCTTTGCTAGACACCCAAATGCTTTGTATGTAGTGGGAGCTCACAGTCAGTGTCTAGCCCCCATCTTAATGATGTGCAGCCATGTACGTCAGTGCACTCATCTATTTGGTGCAAAAATTTGCAAAGTGATGCTTTAGCTAAGCGTCTGTCTGAGCAGAGAATGAGTGGAATAGTCCTGCTACTGCCCAGGAGTTCTTGTTTGATAGTGAACGGAGCTGAAGTACCAACAACAGTGTGTTTATACTGACATAATTTATTGCTTTTGAACCTTGTGTCGATGTCATGTAAAATATAAAGGCAGAGTAAATCTAGAGTTAAATAACTGAAGATAATTTAAAAGATTATTCATGTATATGTATATTTGGTTATGTAATGTGCCATTGAGAATTTATTATGAAATAAAATGTTGTATTTTGTGTCATATACACTGTCCTTTTTGTAGTTGGATGCAAAATGAATCAAACAGATCCTTGCACGTATGTATGTGTGTGTATATATATATATATATATGTGTGTGTGTGTGTGTGTGTATATTTGTATATATATATATATATATATATATATATATATATATATATATATATATATAATCTCGTATCTACATTTTTGTTTTCCAGTTTTAACATAATTTGAAAATGCCTGTCACCCTTTACATTGTGTGTAAATTTCATGATGATTGGACCAAAAGAAATGGCCCAAAATGACTTGGAAAAAATTCTGGTTTCATTGACTTACATTAAAAGTGAAGTATGTTTTTTCTGTAAAGTTATCATTTTGGAGATACAAGGTTTTCTTCCAACAACAGATATACATATTAGAAGGGACATGTAGAAGTCCTAAAGTTAGTAATCAGGCTATGAGAGTTACCATAGCCCATTATAGCTCTTCCTGCACTACACTCTTAAAAAGTTTCTGAAATGGTTCTTGGCTTGTATCTAGGAGAAGATTTGAATTGTTCCAGGTAGGAGAAATGTTTAATTGGTATAAAACCTTTGCATTATGTTGATGTTCTTTGAGCCTTTAAATGACCAGACTTCCATTCCTCACTCCTATAATTTAAGAATGACTCAGCCAGTTTGTGTTGATTCTGTTGAAACAATATTTTTAATGATCCTAGCTGTCTTTTGTGGGAAATGAATTGGAAAAAAATAATCAGGAGATTTTGCATCAAAGGAAGTCAACAATCGAGACAAAATATGTCAAATGTTGACAGGAAAGCATGCAAAAGAAGATCCCCTTCTTTTGAGTGACCCCCTCCTCAAGTACTACAGCCCTGTTTGGCAGATAACAAGTCTTGTAGAGTAGGTTGAGATTAGCCTATCAAATGTGTTCAGGTGTTTGACATTACTCCTTTAACACATGATTCAAAATAAAGAATGAACAAGATTTAAAAGACCAGATTTTACTTAGCTACACTAATTCAAATGTAGTGCTTAACTAGCTAATAACTAGCTCATATACTTTAAATTAGCTTTTATTTTCTTGAAGAATGCAAGGTTGTGTCTGTTTTTGTGTGTATCTGTGAGTGTGTGTGTGTTTGTGCGTATATATATATATATATATATATATATATATATATATATATATATATATATATATATATATGCATATATGCAGTTGCAAACTGTAACTATTACAGCTAGGCCTTCAGTTCAGGCCATAAATGTCAATATGAGGAAGACACTTCAACAACAATGTTAATTTCTTATTGTGCCCTGCAGATTTTTAATAGTATGTTAGCGCTAAGCTAATGTTGGTTCACATGATCACTTTTTGGCCATTCTAGATTAAACACAGACATTTGAAGCTTGCAAAAGACATTCCGTGTTTTATTTGAAGCTTTTAACAGACATTCTCATATATTTAGCAGTTCCACAGTGATTCTTTCAAAGCACAGGCATTGAGCTGCTGCTGTTTTCCTCTCACCGCAACACATTAGTTCAGGCTACCACTATTACTCGCAGTCAGTGATATATCTAGAACATATTCAGAAGGCTTAGAGTGTCATCTTTTCTTGCAAACTTGGTCCCACCCATTGGAAATCAAAACGTGATTGGTTGGCTCCTCTGTTAGTTCAGAATTATGTTAATGTTCAATCTGAAATGTTAGGACTTCAGTTCAGCTACTGAAGGCCTAACCAATGAGAGAGATTTATTGGCTGTATCTACCTAGAGACCACAGAGAACAAATTGTTGGGCATATTAAGAAGAGTTTAGAAACATGAAGTATGATAATTATATTAAACAAAATAAACTTAAAATTGAAGTGTTTTTTTCTCAGAAATCATTAGGCCTTCTCTGAGGGCACAGAAGGCCTTGATAGTACCCACACTGCTTATATGTGTTTATTTGTGTTCTCATAGAGTAAAACAGTGTTGCCTTTTGTATACTAAAAAAAACATGGCACAGAAAATACAGTTATAGGTATGAGTGGGCTGGTCTACACCGTGCAACTCCAAGTCTGAAAACGTGCCTCACTCCAGCCCTGCTGTAGAATATACTTGCTCAAATACTTGGAGAAGGTTGTGTTAGTGTAAGCACTTACAGCAGGCAGCCAAAAAGCAATCCAGATTGTGATAAGGAATCCATCATCACATTATGGATTTTAGTCCTGAATACAATAAAAGCTCAACCACAGCATGAAAATGTTTACACCTGACAGGTTTGAGGGGGTCTTGACATCATCCAAGCATGTAAGTAGTCTGTCTGCTCAGACTGTGGAGAAGCTGAGTGAGCTGTAGACAATGGGCTCTCTTGCTTGAGGTCTCTTCGGCTGATCCGGACTCTTCAGTATCACTGCGGCATATACCACCTTCAAAAATAATCACACACTCACACATTTTAACCAAATGCACTGATTGCTTATGCACCATCCTACTGAATTAGTTCAAACTATGATTCCCCATTACAAACTATTACAAGAAATGAGTATTCAGACCTTCCATATTTATAATGATTATGTTATTATGTATTTAAACACAAGGCATTAATTAATAAGCTAAATATATACTAAATCATAATTTATATGGTACTTTCTATTTGGAAGCGTCTGTCCCAAACCCTAACCCCTACAAAAAAATCTTTAAAAGTTAAAATATGTAGATTTATCATGAATTTATCCCTGTCCCTTATGGCCACACGGTGAGCAATTAGATCCCATTGTTTGAAGTAAATGTGTCCCAAAGTCTAAAAATCAGTGTGGAACATTGAGAATTTTCATTACTGAAACACATATTTTAAGTAAACTTTTTTTTTTCTTTTCAATTTTTACCAGATTTTCTCCCCAATTTAGTCGTCTCCAATCCCACCCGCTAGTTAGGACTCCCCCAATCACACACGATACCATCAACACTAGGAGGGTGAAGGCTAACACAGGCTTCCTCCGAGACCTATTAAACCAGCCACCGCTTCTTTTCGAGCTGCCGCTCACGCAACGTCATTGGACAGCTGAACGCGCTCGGAGGAAAGCGCCAACCGCCAGATCTGTTACGTCAGCTAACAGACGCCTGCGCTGACTAGCATCGCGCTGAGTGAGTGATGGGGGGAGGGGGGCAGCCATCCTACCCACCCAGAGAGAGCGAGGCCAATTGTGCTCTCTCGGACTCCCGGCTACGGATGGCTGTAGCATCACCAGGGATCGAACTCGCGATCTCCTCATGATAGGGCCAATGCTTAGAGGGTTGCGCCACTCGGGAGCCCGTAAACTTTTTTTTTGTCTTGATGAAAAATATTATGGTTTTATGTGTGTACAACTGTCCAAAGCTGTGCTTGATAGTTATGTACTGGCTAGTGTTGTAAATTATGCTCAAAATTAGCTAAAATTGTCTTGAACACAGTTTTGGTACTGTTATGATTGTTTTGGCAGTGACAAAATGGAATGTTCATTCATTTTATTTTAATAAAGTAAACATATTTAACATAATAGGGTTACTCAAAGCAAAATGATTTTAGACTAAAATGCAATCAGTTAAAGGCACAGTTTATGAGTTTAATCAAATATACATTTTGTAAAGTTTAGTGAAAATCCCCTCATGGTCCACTAGCTCTCCGTTCTGTGTGCACGCTGGAAAAGAATCTGGTGTTTGTACACAGCCCTGACTTTGTAAATGCGAAACAAACAAAGTGAATCGGACCAAGATGCACAACATTGTTCCAGTCAATCTGAAACAGGGAATGTTTGTGCTCATGCACAGGACATGGGGGAGGGGAGGGGCTACATGCTGAACTCCATGTGTTGTCAAGAAGGAGAGATGGCTGAGAAACAAGAACAAGAAAATTCAAACAAGAAGCTGAGGTGCCAGAATATAGCCTAACTGCTGCACCACTGAAGGTGAAACAGGAGAATTTGCACAAGACTATGAGGCGCCAGAATGTAACTGTTGCGCCATTTAAGGCGGAATGGAACAATTTGAACAAGAAGCTGGCGAAAAAGAAGCTGACTTCAGCTTCACTGAGAGTTGAAAGGCATAAAAAGGGATGAGAAGGTTGCTCTGTTTCTGCTTGGGTAACAGTATCTTATTTTGCACAGAACCAAAAGGTCAGTATTGTTTTTCCTGTTTGCTAATGCTTGTAAGAGGTTTGCCTCACAGGAGCAACTATAGCAACAACCTAGCTAACTTTAGTTACATTACTTTCTGTGTCATTGTTGGCCCTAAAGTCACATCATGGTAATTGTCCGTACAACGTTTGCAAAGGGTTTTATGGCCACGAAGATCTAAAAAAAAAAAAAACAAATTTGCCAAGCCAGTGTTGTTCACCTTCACAGTGTATATCTATTAGTTTGGGGAGTGGAGATTCTGAAAGGGGCACTGAAGGGATGGGGTGTATTTGTTTAGCTGTTGAGTTCACATATCAGCAGTCTTTCTCCAGAATCGTATACTGTGCCTTTAGAAGTCCAAAATGTGTTTTCAACTCTGATGTTGAACCAATTCAGTACAATGCTCGATATAACATAAAGAGATTATTAAAAAGTAAAGAACACTGAAGTACTTACTTCTGCTTTTGGTTTAACTCGAGCAGCAGCTACAAGTAGAAACAGAAGGAGCAATTAAGACTTGCACGGAGTGATATACCAAATAGTATCAATGTAATAGTAGTAGAATCTATTAATATTTATGAGATGACACCAGTAACAATCATATATAAACCATCCACTTTACTCACTGTCCACCACCATATTGGTTTATAGTAACAAACTGTATTCTATCTGTTGCTCCACAATTTATCAACCGCCCTCTGTCTATTTATCACTAGTCAGTTTCTGATCACAGGACCAGATTTTATTTGGGTGGTGGACCATTCTCAACACAGCACTGACACTGTCATGGTAGCATATGTGGATCTGGTATGACTGTATAAGACACAGCAATGTTTCTGGGGGTTTTAAATAAGTAGGTGTCACTTGTCTAGAGTGACCCACCACCAACAAATATCTAGCCAAGAGTGATTCAGTGTTCAGAAATTGACCACTGATGAAGGGCAAGAAGATAGCTAACACAAACTGAACATTGGCAGATGGCCTACAGTCTATAACTGAAAGGTGGAGTTACAAGGTAGGCTTTTCTTTGCTATGAGTGATCATAAAGGACTAATGATATGTCAGTCTTGCATGGGATGCACTGTATTCTTACAGGTGCCTCTGAAGCGTGGTGGGACGGGAGGAGAATGAAGTCGTTTGGAAGACAGACAGCAGGCCAGCCCCAGAGCCAGAGGAAAACACAAACTGGCACCAGCACAAACCAGCAGCCTGTGAGAGAGCTTTCTGTCTGCCAGTTCAGCTACAAATACAAAATAAGTCAAGTCTGATTCAGGGGATGTCATCTTTTAATTAATTTATCTTTTTTTTTTCTTTTTTCTTTAATGTTAAAGGAATAAAATCTAATTTGCACATTTTCCCCTTTAGGACCATCTACATATATTCGCCAAGGTATGTAGCTATCAAGTACAAATTTTGGGTAACACTTTAATTAAAAGCTGCCTTCATACAAACTTTATAACATGCATGAACATTGAGTTGAGTAACATTTAAAAAACAATACGATTTATAAACAACTTATGTTAGCACTTGCGAGATGACATGAAATGTTTTATGCAGTTAACGACATCATAAATTACATATTGACATTGTGATTACCCGAGGACTGTTAAACTAAACTGATGGACAGTTGTTCCATTTATAACACTGTTATAAAGGCATTGTAATACCTATAAGGCAGATACCTTATTAAAAATGCCATATATCAGTTCTATTAAAGATGATGAAAATATGTATGAAAATGATCACTTTAAAGGCATCAACATCTTTCACAGAACTGATATATGGTGTTAGGCATCTCCATCATTAGTTCCTATGCTTGGGAATGATGCTTTATATCAGTGTTATAAATGGAAAAACTGTCACTTTAATTTAAAGCTCCTTACTTCAATACAATGTCACATACTCCATAAAGCATCTTACACCATCTTGCAAATATTGACACAAGCTGTTAACAAATATTCAAGTATTGCTTTGCTATGCAATGCTTATGCGTGTGTCATAAAGTCCTTGTGTAGGTTGCCTTCAAATAAAGTGTTACTGTCATACAGTTTCAGAAAACACCTAGACAAGTCTAACTGAGATTGCTTGACAACTTGACAAGGTTCGAAGCAAGCGTGTGATGAATTAGGCACGCAGTTTTGCACATTCCTGCTAATTGATGGAGTACAAGTTTCCATTGCTTCATTAGTTTTTAGCCTTGTAGCTCCCATGCAAAACTCAGTGGATTCAGGCCACTTAACAGAGTTCAAAAGAATGAGAATGGACTGAGTTAGGATACGTACTTAAGTGCTCATAGCTACCTGTAGTCACATTGACATATGTTACATGCCCGAGACTGGCGTAATTCCCCTCCCAGATGATGTTGCACTGATACGCCCCTGAATCTGATTGGTTGAGGTTTTGAATGTTGACCAGCAGGCGTGTGCTATTGGCTGAAATGGTATAATTAGACAGATGGAGTCGTGATGATGGCCTGAGGGGAGTGAAAGTATTCCTTTCTATCAGACCCCATCCTCCTGTCCAGGTGTTCGGTCCGCAGTCCTGAACCACACACTGTAAAGAGACGCTGCCCCCTTCTGGCACAAACAGAGTTCTGCGGGTCGCTGACACTGTGCCAGTGCATTGAGTAACACAGACTGGAAGAGATCAAATGAAAAGGATTTTTAACATGTCAAGAATATTCACTCATTTTAATGTTTCATTTTAATTTTAAATATCTGTCTTATTACCTAATAATACTACTACCTAACACTTCAAATTTATGGTGAAATTCATAGGAAAAAAGTATTTGGACTTCCTAGTTACTAAGGACAACATTATTAAACAATGTTTGAAATGGAAAAAGTTACAGAGCTATAGTGAAGACCATAAACATCCTTGTCAGTACAAGAAGATGGAGGTTTCAACAGCCATACAGGTAAAATAACATACAGTCAAAAACTAGAAAAGTATGGAGGAAATTGAACTACAATACCCATCAATTAAAAAAAATATATATGCTTTATGTTGATGAATGCAACCTTTTGTGGTTCGTATTTATAAGCACGATGAGAAAACACATTATGTGTGTAAATTTGAAGTGGATATATACAATGGAAGTATATTAAATCACAAAAGCAAAAGTGTTTACCCTGCACTGTATATTGACTCATATCAGGCAGTGTTTGGTGAGAATCTAACAGCAACACCAAGGTTTATCATCATAATAGTACTACTTGTTTTGTTTTAAGCCGAGTCTTCAAATTATTTGTTAGACCAGAACAAAAACACTTCGACACGGCTGTACTTCTCCATAGAAGTCAAACAGCACAGATGTGGGCTGTGTAGCTCCTCTAACAGAACTTACCTTGGAGATTGCATGAAAAGGTCAGAATGATCATCAAACATCCATCTAGAAGTACATTTGGCATCCTGTGTTGTGAAAGTGCTTGGCGATTTCTGTCCAGGCTCCGCATACGTTCCCCAAATAGATTACAAACAACTGTCAATCGTCAACAAATTTCACTAATGCAACATACAGCAGGTCCATCTTGCTTTCGCTCTGAACTGTCAGTAAATTCACTTCTGTTTCAGAATATTCCTTTGGTCAGGCAGGCCCATTGTAATAGTTGGGCATGAGGAAGGAAGTTCACATGCTCACTTTCCATTCTGCAGGAAAACAACATCATGTCCTTCCTGTTCACAAATGAGAAAAACCTGTTGATCAGAAGTGGTCTATAGTCCACTGATCTCCTACACTAATCCTAAATATTTGGATATTAGCATTTTGGATCAAAATATCACATGGACTATGAATGCTGTAGCCTTTTAGCGTTCATTTAAAAACATTTAGAGCAGAAGAAGCATTTAGAAATGACATATAAAGCATATTCACCTTAATCTAGTCCAATAAAGTCACCAACTGGCAGATGTTTGGTTCATAGACAATATGGTTCATAATGATAATGGTACATTCTGCTTTCAGTTTTGAGTATGTTGGCGACATGAAATGCAAAGAAGCATCAATAAAAGGAATGTAGGTCATCATGTCCACGTATCAAAGACTTCAGGAAATTATTACATGCAAAGAATACAAAGCAAATTATTAGAAACAATGTCCTTAATGAACATATAACATTTTTCTGTTAAAGGTTCCAAAGCATTTTGAAGCCTAGCAGCTTGCTTTTTAGCCCATCTTAGTCAGTATGTGCTACAAATGATTCAGTGACGACTATGAAACTAATGTGTAAGTTTGGTTGTTATGGGTTTGAGGAACTGAAATGTGGACCCATATGCGGACCTTAAGAGTTTAAAAAGTCTAAGCCCCATTGCAATTTTGCAAATTTGTGATAAAAAAAAAAGTAGAGAACTAACAATAAACATTAAAAGTTATAATCATTCAAAAAGAAAGATAATATAAGTTGTTGAAAGAAGAAAAAAGGGCAGTTTGAAGTAGTGGAAAGCTGACTGTACATTATGGATGTAGAGCTCTGGTAAGATCTGATGCAGAAATGGAATTATTCATCATAAACATTCAGCTGGACCAAAAGCGATGAGTTAAAATCATTCAGTTGTCATCAGTCAGTTTTTATCCATTTTCAAACAGTCACTGCTAGAACATATGTATATATGTTTCTATCATTTACATGCATATAAAGTATTGATGTAAAATAACCTACTTAGTGTTTAAAAAAGGATAAAATAGTTGTAAATCCAGAAAAAAAAATGTCCTGCATGCATCTCTTCTTACCGTGTGTTTTTAAAAATACATTTTGGTCTGGGACAAAATTTATATCTAAAACTATCATAAAGCACTGTCCTCACGTAATCCACTTAACCACAAGGTGGTGCTGAAGTTCAGAAAACTGGATGACTTTACCAAAGTTTGGTTGTGTGGGAAATATTGTGCCAAGCTGTGGGACTCCGAGAAGAAAAATACACCAGAGTTTTGTTTGTCATTTTGATTGTTATGGAAGGTAGGAAAGAAGGCAATAGTAACTAAAAACGCTGCAGCGGCCTGCAGTGGATTTGGAGGTTCAGAGTGACTTTGAGGGAAATGGAGAACACGAAAGTGCAAAAAAGCCAATACCTGCGGCAGCTGACTGAACAGATTATTGTCTCAAGTTTGGCACCTGGATGAACAGATGAATCAAACGCTAATGAGACACAGGCTCTGTTATGTCTGGCAAAACCACAAAACCAAGCACTATATTCAAAGGTCAGAACATTACAGTAAGGCCTCATGGTGGTGTCTGAGTTTGGAGAAGTTATCTTCACATCAGGATTTGGTCAGCTTCATCAAAGAAAATGGAAATTCTGCTCAATCTTTAAGGAATTTGAGGTCAGTCAAACACAGGTGAATGGAAAATCAGCCAAAACTGAGATCATGCAGCAAAGCATGATAAAAATACTTAAATAAGAGTAATTTTTATGGTACACCTTTTATGGTAAAAAGGATTGTTCATCAAGGGTTCTTTAGTAAAGAAATTGGTTTTATGAAGAGCAATGAACACTCAAAGAACCCACTGCATGATTAAAAGGTTCTTTGTATCATGAAAAGATTTAGATTGATGGCAAATATGCAGGAATGTGCTGTAGATGGTTTTATATAGAACTTTCCTGAAAATTGGTTCTATATAGCACCAAAAAGGGTTCTTCAACTGTTACAAGCTTGACATCCTAACAATAGAAGAAAAATGGAAACGTTTTTAAAAAGGTTCTATATAGAACCATCTACAGCACATTCTTCATATATACTGTATACAGAAAAGAGAAACTCAAGGTCTTTGAAAATTCTACTCAAATTCCAGATCTAGAACGTCATGCTGTGACAGTACCATTCAGTACTGAATAGTCCAGTAACCCACTCAGGGCTTTGTGAACAGTGATTTTGCCAAGATTAAAGGGTCAATATTGTTGCTCTCCAAAAAAAAACAAGTATCAATTTTTATCAACATCATTTGAGGAAACCAGCTGCCCTTTATGCTGTGTTAAAATTTCATGATGATTGGACCAACAAAAGTGCTCCAAAATGACTAGGAATAAAATCTTTTTACATTAACTTTCATTAAAAGTAAAGAACGTTTCGCCCTCTCCTCTTCAGTTGCTATTTTTGTGCTACTTGTTTTTCTTTGGACAGTGACGGTATTCTATTTAAAAGCTATTTCATCCCTTACAATTACACAGGTTGTTTTTGTTACCATGCCTTTAAGACTGATATATGTAAATGACCTCTTTTCTGATTGGCTGTCTGATTTTGTGCCTCATTTCAAAGTAAGTCCCAGCTGAAACATTTCTTATACCTTAATGTGAACATAGTGTTTTCTGATGTAGGCTGAATGGCCAGGTATATGTAATTATGTAGATGTTTGTGGCATCACAAAAACAACAAATTCAATTCGTATATGTAAATTGTATATTTCCGTATATATGGATTGCTTAGACTTTGGCGTGAATGGTACATTCTGAACATATAACAATATTGATGTGCTACAAAGGAACTGAAGAAACTGATTCCTTGAAATGGGCTCTTCAAGCAGAAGTGGTCAGTGGCTTACTACTTTTTTCTGTTAACAGAAAAAAATATCATTACAAAATGCACAATAAATACTTTATGATTAATAATAATCCCAATACAAAATTATATCAAACAATGTATTTATTTAACAGTTGGCTATTATTTAAAATCTGTATATGAAAAGGGGCCAAACTTTCACTGCCACACTGTGGGAGACTGATCAGTATCTACAGGAAATACTGCATTGTGGTTACCAGGCGATTACTGTATTTCCTCTACACTCACATCGTCTGCGTTAACATCAGGTTTTGGTTACATGTCATCCAGCGGACACGTTTGAGCATGAAGGAGGTTGTAGATCTCTAGCTACGTGTTTCAGCAGAAACATGTGGATACAATTAATAGATATTCTCCCTGATTGTGTCATGTGCAGCAGATCACTGGGTAAATTCCCTCAGAGAAGTGCCTCACCTACCTCTGAAAACAGGAGATTTAGATTACCATTTGAACTGTGAAGACTTTACTGATTGTCCAGTAAATCCACTGATTTATAGCGAATTTAGTTCAAAGTAGTGCTAAATTCATAACTTATAATTCAAAACTATATAATTTATGCAATTCAGTATGATATCTCTATAATAATCTATAATATTTTCACCTCTGTGTAATACTCCTGTAGTACTGTTTTATAGTCATCCAGTACTAAAGTGGGTGATGAGGAAAGTTCAGAGAATTCTCATTGGGCTGGTATCATTTTGGACCAGTTCCTGAGGGCTAACATAAATAAACTCACACATATGAACACAAAAATGCACAGAGGAAGTGTAAGTGTTACAACCAAGTAGATATAAGGGTTACATCAATGTCTGCCTAAAGTGTCACAGAGAAGGGACCAGATTATCCTGTTCAAATTCAGCATGCACGTCTGGGGCTGGTTGACACAACAGACGGTGTTGTACAGAGAGCATAGCTTTCAGTATAGCTTGTCAATGTAGCAGTTTACATATGTGAACTACATGAAGACAGCTGTCTATGACAAAAATTGGAAAAATTTAAGGTGGCACCGAGAAGGCAGGAAAAAAAACCCTGAGGAGATTTCAGTGAAATGCTGAAACACCACAAACAGTTACATGCAAATGTTTCTAAGTAAAAATAAGAACACATCTTCTACAGAGAGCACACTTCTGCACATCTTAGTCCATAATTACTGTTTATTTAAAAAGACAGAACATAAAATGTGGCCAAGACAGAACATAAAACGTGCCATAACATAAAAGTCATGGCATGTTTCGTATTTTTTGTGGTTTATTTTTTCAAATCTGTTAAAACGTCGCCAAGTCAGTTCTCTGTAAAGGGTGTGTTAACTTATTTTCACTTACAATGCTGACAGAGATGCTGACAGAAGCTACCATTAGTTTATAGCATTTTAATTATCATGAATATGTCACAGTCCATGTAAAACCTTTTGTCCAGTTTTCATTTTAGCCCTAGCTGGTCAGCTTGGTTATCTCTTACTAGTGAATAAATAAGAGTAGGAAATGAAGAAGATAAAAATGCCCAGATTTGAGAAAAAGCTGTGAGCTAACCTATTTCGAGCACAGTGGTTAGCTAACTTTAAGTTAAGCTAAGTTAGCTGTTAGGTAGTGAAGTGTATGCCGTATGCAAAAGTTTAAATATCTCTGGTCGTCTACTGTTTTGTTGATTTTCTAAAAGAAAATAATGCACCTCCATAGAAAACATTAAACAATTAAATATGCCATTTTTCTGCACATTTTAAGGTTAACATACTGGGAAAAAAAATAAAACCAAAATGTTTTGTTTTTTTTTCCTCAACAGGTTCTACATTTTTTTTGTTTTTCATTTAATGTTTGGAAGAAGGTAGGATTGTGTGTGTGTGTGTGTGTGTGTGTGTGTGTGTGTGTGTGTGTGTGCGTGTGTGTGTGTGTGTGTGTGTAGCACAGAAAATACAGTTAGAGTTTGGGTGGGCTGGCTTGCATCATGTAACTCTCATTCTGAAAAAGAATCCCACTCCAGCCCTGTCATACTCTATAATACTGTTTGCATTTTCTATTATATCCTCTTATAAATACTGTAGAAATTCCTTCAGTATTACTATAGATCTTTTTCCTGAGGGTATGTAATTAATGACTAAGAAA